AATTACATATAAATTACAATTATAATATAATAATAATTACAATTAATTATTGTACAATCATAATTAGAGTACAATTTACAATTAATAATGCTATCAGTATCAAATAGATATATCTGATATATCCAATAATGTAGATAATTGATACTGAACAGCATTTACTTCAAGAGTTCAACATTACATAAATTTATATAACAATATAATAAATATATATACAAGTTTAAATATATAAAATAAAATGTAATACATATGTATTACATTTTATTTTGTACATAATATTTTGTACATAATATTTTGTACATAAAAAATAAAATGTAATACATATGTATTACATTTTATTTAATATATTTAAACTTGTATATATATTTATTATATTGTTATATAAATTTATGTAATGTTGAACTCTTGAAGTAAATGCTGTTCAGTATCAATTATCTACATTATATTGGATATATCAGATATATTTATTTGATATACTGATAGCATTATTAATTGTAAATTGTACTCTAATTATGATTGTACAATAATTAATTGTGATTATTATTATATTATAGATGTAATTTATATGTAATTATATAATTATATTAATAATATTATAAATTATATGAAATTTCCTTTTTTTGTAAATTACACGAAAATTTACCGAAAGAACATATAATGACAATATAATAGAAATTTTAAATTAATATATTTGTTAATTTCTAGTTTTTATATATTATCTGTTTTAAAAATATTTATAAATATTATTATTAAAGTTGGGAGATTGTGTTTTCATATCAAAGAATTGTTAATAAATTCGGGAAATTGGAATTCAAACTTTATAAATATCACGAATATCGCGAATTCTTCTAATATTTAATAGAAAAATAATTGAATAAAAATATGAAGACTCGATGTTAAACTAACGATTAAATATTAGCTTCTTGTTCACAAAATTTAACGACTGCTTTCGACATTGCAGAATCGCGAGTAAATTATTCCAAATTTCATGATTTAATTTTGATTTGATTGATATCTATTTCTTTCTCTTCATTAAAAATGTTCTTCCATCATTATTAATATTAGTATATTATTGTCTTAATGTGCTAAAAAGATTTAATAGTAGATTGAACATGGATATAGCTAATGTATATAGACAAATTTATATTTTTTAAGCAATTTCAAATTGCAATAAATTTGCCTGTTTCTATTGACATTTTTTATACAAAAAAGATTATAGTTACGAACGAATATATTTTATTAATTATTTTTAATATAATTTTTGATCTTTCTTTGAGAAAATATTTCTAGGTCCTGAGGATATTAAAATTATTTCTTGGTTTCTTTTAAGAAATCATTTGCAGGTAGGTATGAATGTAACGTAAAATGTGCGTATACTTCAAAACTTTGAGACAAATCGAATGGGTACCCTGATATCAGTGAAATATCGGCAAATTGATGTATTTAAATGCTACAGAAAAAGATTAATTATAGAATTATTATAATTATGCTTGATATTATTTTGATTTATTTTATGTGTGTTGCAAAGTATACAAATTAAATTTTTTTAAATTTCGCTGTTATCGGGTTCGATTCGTCTCGAGTGGTACCCGAGAATTATTTGTACTCGCACATTTAACTCGCACTAGCTACAATAACACGATACATGTATTTTATTATCCATAAATATAGTCGTTCGTAATCACATTTTCATAAAAATTGTTATATCCATTTAATTTTCTATAAAGAGATATATTTCTTAATAATGGAAGAACACATTTTCTCGCGCGAATTTCAATCTCGTGAATTAAAGATGATGACAATGGTAACTGTTGTTGATTCGTTATCGAAATCATTGCTATCGGGAGCAGTCCGGAAGATTCGGGATTCGTTCCCTCCTACAGCTGGGCCTCTGATATTCAACGGATCACTTAACTTTTCTTTGCGGATTGATCTTGCGGGATCCGATGTAGAAGCAAGAATTTGATCGTTCTCCACCTTTAGGATTGTTCTTGTCTTTGTCGGATATTAACCGGCGTATTATCTGACGGAGGAATCTTGATCTGGTCAAATCGTTGAGCCAGTTATCCTCCACTAAACGCGGCGATAACGCGGTTTTTTTATAACGGTATTTTAAGACTTATATGGTTTTATCCTGTTTAATCAATCCTCCGCGAAACGGTACACATATCTTACTCTCAATCGCGAATAATTTAATTTAATTTAATTTAATAAAATCACATATTTGAAAATAAATCGGGCATTAGATTTTATATTCAAATTGTATACAAATGTCCTACATATATTACAGACGCGATTATAAAAAGTCAAAATGTCCATCGAAACATTTTCGTTTAAGTATGTAATAATTATATTGTTTCTCCGATTGCATGTATATTGGAATCGCGAATATTATGGCTATCGTTGATTTATTTATTCGTCGCGTTTTTTTCGCAAATTTTAAATCACGATTTATCTTGTGATTTAATCGTTGATTTACATCGAAGCTTTGTCTATCTTTTCTCGGATATTTTCTTTGAAACTGTACGCAAAATGCGCCAGTCTAACAATAAGTACTTTCTTCTTCTTAATTCAAAAACAATCGATAACTTTATTAACAATTTCTTTGGTCAGAATCATTTGCACTATATAAAACTTAATAAGCTTTGTAATTGCATGTTGATCATTAATTACAAATATCGTATTAATTGTTCTTTATCAGCTATATCTAATCTAAAAATTTCTAATGAATTCTGCATTATGTGAATATTTCGGATATTTTCGTGTAATAAACGGAGGAATCTTGATCTGGTCAAATCGTTGAGCCAGTTATCCTCCACTAAACGCGGCGATAACGCGGTTTTTTTATAACGGTATTTTAAGACTTATATGGTTTTATCCTGTTTAATCAATCCTCCGCGAAACGGTACACATATCTTACTCTCAATCGCGAATAATTTAATTTAATTTAATTTAATAAAATCACATATTTAAAAATAAATCGGGCATTAGATTTTATATTCAAATTGTATACAAATGTCCTACATATATTACAGACGCGATTATAAAAAGTCAAAATGTCCAACATTTGTAAATGTTGGACATTTTGACTTTTAATAATGTCGAAACATTTTCGTTTAAGTATGTAATAATTATATTGTTTCTCCGATTGCATGTATATTGGAATCGCGAATATTATGGCTATCGTTGATTTATTTATTCGTCGCGTTTTTTTCGCAAATTTTAAATCACGATTTATCTTGTGATTTAATCGTTGATTTACATCGAAGCTTTGTCTATCTTTTCTCGGATATTTTCTTTGAAACTGTACGCAAAATGCGCCAGTCTAACAATAAGTACTTTCTTCTTCTTAATTCAAAAACAATCGATAACTTTATTAACAATTTCTTTGGTCAGAATCATTTGCACTATATAAAACTTAATAAGCTTTGTAATTGCATGTTGATCATTAATTACAAATATCGTATTAATTGTTCTTTATCAGCTATATCTAATCTAAAAATTTCTAATGAATTCTGCATTATATTTAGCACAAACATGCACCAATCGGTCGTTTTACCATGGCATCAAAAAGTGGATCTGGCCATGTAGTTCCGCCGGCACTAAAATGGATCCAGTTAGTGCCACTGTACCAGCTAGGAAAATGGTCTCACGAGAAACGGCGACGTGGCTCCTCTCAGGCTTCTCTCTGGTAGTTACATCAGAGAGAAGTTTAAGAGGGGCCACGCCGCCGTTTTTGTATACTATGGACAGCGATAATAAAAGTTATTATTATTAAAGTTTAATTTTTATGTACACGCGCAAGTAAAATGAAATAAATTTTTTTGGAATAATTTTCTCAATATTTTCCTAATTTTTTTTAAATTCCTAATTTCCTAATTTTTTTAAATTAATTTTCTCAATTTTTTCCAAATTTTTAAATATAACATGTAGAAAATATATTTATAAAATAAATTTCTTTTACTTTTTTCTCTTATTCTTGGAACAAAATTATCAAGCATTTTAAGCAACTCCGGTTTTTTATTTTAAATTCTGGATAGCACTCCACAAGATATAAACGATACTCTTATTATATTTGTGGGAAAACTAATATTGCAAAAGATATCGCCATTTTTCGTATGACATTTAGCGAAAACCTCACAGTTTATTTATCACCGAGCGATCATATAAATATGAAAAAATTAATTAATAGTATATTAATAAATAATATATATATTTTATATTAATTAATTAATAATTACATCTCGAAATTTGATTTCCTCGAGATTTTTTTGTGCGCGACTGACTGTTGATTAACTTCAGTTCAAATTAAAAATAAAGGAAAATTTTCGCATATCGATTATCGCGGATCTCGACGAGAGATTTTGTGTTACAAGAGAAATCGGATGACAACATGTTTCGATATTTCTTTATTCATCGTCCGCGCGGTGCAACGTGAGGACTAATTAATTAAGAATATGATTGATGGTCGTTGATAAAGGAGGAAAAAAAAATGATCGGCGACACGTCGCAGAATCCAACGGACAAGGAGTTGTTCGCGTGGATCGACAGCATCCCTATCTCGAAACCCGCGAGAAACTTAACGAGAGACTTTTCGGACGCCGGTAATTATCGATTACTCCTTGACAATGATCATTTCCCATATCACTTCTTCTTTCTTTTTTAATAAATAATTTAAAATTTATTATATCCGGGCAAATTATTAGTCCTCATGGCGGAGATTTTGAAAGTATACTATCCTCGATACGTGGAACTTCACAATTACGTGCCGGCGAGTAATCTGAACATGAAGAAGGAGAATTGGAACACCCTGAATCGAAAGGTACTTGCCAAGATTGATATGAAATTGAGCAGGGACACGATCCATCATTTGGCGAACGCGTCGCAAGGCACGATAGAGAAACTCCTGCTAGATTTGAGAATGAAAATTCTGAGAGACGACGAAGAAATGCACAGGCTAAAATCCAAATATAATGCGGAAGGTACTCGATGTCGAGTAATCGTGTTTACCTAACGATAGGTAAATGTCATCCTTTACTTTTAAACATATAGTATTTGTATACTTTATGCACACACAGAGGAGAAAATTGAAGATTCGCCAATGGACAACCAACTTGATTCGTCGGCGGAAAGTTCAAACAAAGTCGAGGCCGATCAGAAAATTAGTGAAATTAATCCGTCGAAATTTGCGCGGCTCAAACGAACGCTTCTCTTCGTTTTCAGTTGGATTATCTGCCCTTTTCGCATATGGAATTTATTTAGCTACTGCAAATTTCCTCGTTTGGGCAGATATAGACGTGAGATATTTAAATGAGATAATTCGCGTGATGGATTTTGCGCGTAAAATTGACGAGTTTTCAAACGCGTTTATATAGGCAATGCGCTTGTGAACGTCGAGACAGAGGGAATTAAGGACGTAAATGATGAAACCGTTCGTCGTGCGATTTATATGGAGCTGAAGCAAGAATTGCGTGAAAAGGAGGAGATAATATGTACTTTGAACCATAAGATTACATATCTGGAGAGTTCAATGAAAGTCAAGGATCTACGCATCTCCAGTCTAACTACGCAAATCCTGCAAAATGGTGTCGAGATGGATCAATCGACGATATCGAGCGGTGACGCTCGCGTTAAATTACGATCGCGATCGCACAATTTTCACGAAACCAAAACCAATTAGAAATTCATAGTACAAAAGCAATTGTACGAAAAATTGCATATTTTGTTAGAAAACTAGAAATGAAAAATTGTGTATTATTTATTATATTGCATGTAGCATAGCATTATTTTCCTCTCTCCTCATTGCGTTATAATTAACTTAAAATCTTAAATTAAGTATGTGAAAATTAAGTATCAAAGTTCACTGAATTTAACCCGTACTTAAATTTGTCGAACTTTTTAGATAAATAAACGCTCTTAACGAAACACATTTTTTGATTAATCGCGAAACTTCTCTCTTTTAATGAAACAGAAGTTTATTGCACCGCGCATCTTCCGTCGCGTGACAAATCATCGTTCTATTCCGATTCTTTAAAATTTGATTAATTAAAAAATAATTAATTAATTTATCATTTTCTTCGATCGAAAGAAGATTTCATATAACGCAAGCGTATATTCTATAGTTTAAACGCTCTATACTATACACACACTCTCTCTCTCTCTCTCTTCTATAATAGCTTTTAACGTGCATCGATGCGCACTAGTGCATCCAACTGAATTCATAAATTAATTGAATAATATAATTATAAAAAAGATTAATAATAAAAAGTTATATAAATTAAAAGCATGATTTGATAATGTTTAAAATGCTTAATACTTTTCAAGAATAAGAAAGAAGTGAAAGCAATTTATTGTAAATATCTTTTACACGTTATATTTAAAAATTAGGAAAAGATCATTGAAAAAATTAATTTAAGAAAATTTATTTCATTTTACCTGCGCATATACATAAAAATACTTCAATCATAATTTATTATCGTATATACTGTAATATGTACTAGAATGACAAAACATCACGCGCAGCTAATAAAACATTAATAATTATACTAACATACATTAATATTCTATTTTATTATTCTTTGTATCATGTATGACTTAGCGGGAGACATTACCGTGTCTCTTGAAGGTTTCCTTCTCTTAATATTCAAAGATATGCTATTAATAGCATACATGAATATTTCAAACTGTTATAAAGGTTATTTTCAAGAATACAAAATATCACTGATGAGATAATCTTACTGAATTTATATATTAAGAGAAAAGATTGGACATAAAAATGCATCAAGGCCACTTTCTGCTCATCATCCTTCATCGCGAAAAGTGGGGGTTCAGGTGTTGTCCACTCACTCACATGAAAAATTCTTAAAGAAGAGCTAACATCAGTGGTGCTTCGGTATGTGAATCGTAACGGAGGCAACACGAAAGCTGATAATAAAAATTCTGCCAAAATTGTACGTGAGTAACAACTCTATGGATTCGATAAAAATATATCTTTCTACAATTTATCTTTGCATCTATTGCTAGATTTATAGAAATTTTTATTCTACAAAATTTAAGAAGATGTAGATATAATTTCTTTAATGGCTTAAATATATACATATACACATATATGTAGGGGAAAGTAGGGTAAAACCGGATACCTTTTTGAATTTGTCTTCCTACAAAAAATCTGAGAGTAAAAAAAATTTTGCCAATCGTTAGTAGTCTTTAGTGAACCTTAAACTTTGAGAAAATAAGGCTAGTTGCTGAAAAAATAATTTTTGGTTACCAAAAACAAGATTTTGTGGAGAAGTCAAAGTACCCGGTTTTGTCCTACCGGTAGGGTAAAACCGGGTACCCATTTGAAAATATGCAAAACACCGTGTAATTACAAAATCTATATTTATTTTAATCAAAATACAACATAAAGATGTATTCTATTGACAAAAATCACAAATAAAGATATCCTCTTGTTCGACATTGCTGCAGAACTTCCTTATTTAACTTTTTAACTTTAGGGGTCTCAAAAAGCTTTTTTTTATTGGTTTCTTTTTCTGAGTGTTAGTTTTCGTTTCCAGCTGCTTTTTGTAAGGAGACAAAATCAGGATAACAGTGCTTCCTCTTTTCATTACATGAGATATGTAAGTCGATATCGATCTTTTTGGGGGTAAAAACTTTGAACTTTTAAAAAAGAAATATCGTGTGCACAGGGGCAGGGTTTGTTTTAAAATAATGATGGCGCCAATCTACAACTAATAACACAAGTTAGCCATAGATAGCAGCATTTATTACGAAAAAACAGGGGTATGATTTGACCCGCCTACCCAACCCGTTTTACCCAATTTTCCCCCATATATATTTTTTTTAATCACAACAACAAAACAGTCATCATTATTAAAATCGTATCTGCAATACAACTTTGATCGTAAAATTAAAAAAGAAAGTATCGTAAAAAATGTCAGGGATATAGAAATTAAAATTGTGAATAATACATGCGTAGCAAAAGAATCTTTAATTTACACACTAACTAGAAATGTAACTAGAAATAGATTTCGGATCTGAAAGAGAAATACCGCATGCGGTTATTAAGGGGATCCTGAACTGACGGGCGAACTCCGATGGGTTAGCGCCAGGAGCCAGACTGGTCCAAAATCCAGAGACCTCTTCCAGTCTCAAGCTTAGCAAGGTCGTGTTAGTTTCACAGTTCTGTTGTGTAGTGTTTATACAATAAAATTAATATATTCACAGTCAACTTTTTATTTTAACTTTATCCAATAAATCTTAACAGACAAAAAACATACGTGTCATACGAAAAAAACCGGATCAACACCGCATCAAAATTGCATCAAATAATTTATCGACGTGGGACTAGTTTTTGCACAAATCTTATAATCAAGTAATTAGATGTTATTAGATGTTATTACAAGTCATGCGAGTTTTATTAGTTTATTTATATTGTTCACATTCCACATGTTTCCATTCCTATCGTAATGTAATGTTTATCATAATCGTATCATCATTTATTATATATATAAATAATATATTGTTTAAAATATTTTTATACATTATGTGATTTTGCTTTAACTTAAAATTTATACATTATAAAAATTACGTAAAAATTAATTGTTCTTGATAAAATCACATTTGTCACGAGGACTAGGTTCTAATATTATGCATATATATTTTTGTGTGTTTCGAATACAATTGTTTCGACTTCTTTTCCTGGTTTTTAACAAAGTTTTCGAATGAAACACGCTGTAAAGAGCAAGTTCAATACCTTTAATAAACGGTATGCGTGGTCAATGACCTTCGTGCACGCTTCAGTCGTCGGAGAATCCGGACATCATACATACTTTCGAACTCTCCCGACTGGAAAAATGTAAAAGTGTAAAGGTGCATTTTCTTGAAGAAAAAAAAATCTATATATTCAAGAAGCACACGTCGTGAATTTTTTTCTAAGCAAATGAAGTTCATTGTATTATTATTTATTTGTCTTATTAATCATGTCGCTTTAAAAGTGTATATTTTTCTCTTTGCTCTTATTTTTTTTTCTTTTTCTTTTATATTTAATTTTATTGAAAATGATATATTCCTATAAGTAATATTATATGTGTTTCAGAAAATAGAATTTGCGTCGAATTTCAATATTGTGCATGTATTTAATTTTATTTAGATAATATGATAAGTATCGACTGCACGACGCTGCTTTATTGCGTTGCGGCGATTGTGCTCGGCGGTGCAATTTTGCTTTTGGTTGGCCTTCGTGTCTACGTTGTCTACACTTTGGGCGTTTGTAAGAGCAAAAACAGAATGGACGGAAAAACAGTGATAATCACTGGATGCACTTCCGGTATCGGCAAGGAGACCGCAAGGGATATTGCCAAGAGAGGCGCGAGGCTCATTATGGCTTGCAGAAACATGGATACCGCTAATCGCCTGAAAGGTTTTGTCACTTTAATGGATTAGTTCTTGACATACAACTTAATTATATTTTACTCAATTATAACTTAACGATTCGATTACGTATGTATGTACATACATACATCCCGTTGCGATTAAATCGATCTGAGACACGCACGTTCTTATAATATATAATTATAAGCAAAGAAATCGCTTATAATTGCAAATGTTATAATGCGTTGCAATTAAATAAGTGATTATATACGTTTATTGCGCATGCTGTTTTTAAACTTGTATGATTCTTTGAATCATACATGGGATATAATAATAGTCATATAAATCAAATGATTAACAATAAGTAATAATTAAATTTTTAATTAACTTAAAAACACAAAGATATATATATATATATTACATTTGTTAATATTAAATTTACTTGAAACAAAAAAACAAAACGATTTTGCAATTTATTTCTATTCCAAAGAATTCGTGAAGCATAATGTCATTTTCGATTGTTCTTCAATTTGAATATTGAAAGCGTTTGATCAAAATAATATTTAACTTAATTTAAATTTTATATGTGTCCATGTATGTGTATGTTCTTAGCAAGTGAATGACGTGTAGAAAATGATTATCGATATGCTAACACAATATTATTGTTAAGTTTTTTCTATTCTTACTCAAGATTAATGTGTTCAACATTTTTCACAGGCATATATTTTTAGTTTTATTTTTCTCTAATATACAAATAATTTTCATATACAGATGAGATTGTGAAAGAATCGAACAACAACAATATCGTAGTCCGAAAATTGGATTTATCATCGTTGCAATCGATCAGAGAATTTGCGCGACAGATTAATCAAGAGGAAAACAAATTGGACGTATTGATTCATAATGCTGGGACTGCGGAGGTTATTACAAAAAAAGTCAATGAAGACGGAGTAGAATTAACTATGGCTACTAATCACTTTGGTCCCTTTTTGCTGACGCATCTTTTAATCGGTAAATAATTATAATATGCGAAACTGTATGCTAATTTATCTGTTGCCGACACATAGTACAAAGATGGATTATCTTATTTAGTATGTTGGCATTGGGAGAAAGAATGAATATTCGAAATAGCACAATATTAAGTAAAGAGAATAACAGAATTTTAAATATAATTTCATATATTCGTTGCAGCAATCTCGCCGGTTTCAAAGCCGCCGCCGTCGACAATAGCTTTTATCGAGTTTGGAAAAAGTAACGCAATATCTCGGCCTGCAAGCTATCTTAACGACCTTCGCGTGCAACATGGACTTTCTCTCTCTCACACACATGCACACACACACACAATATATATAAGATATATATATATATATATATATATTTAAATCTCAAAATAATATTTAACTTAATTTAAACTTTATATGCGTTCATGTGTATGCTCTTAGCAAATCAATAATGCGTAGACAATGATTATCAATGCTAATGCTTGCTTACACAACATTATCGTTAAGTTTTTCCTATTCTTACTCAAGGTTGTAATAAATAATAAAAAGTATCATTATGATATATGTGTTTGCCATCTGAGTTAGAATGTAGCTAATGAAAACATCTCGTTTGTATTTACAGACTTATTAAAACGATCGAAACCAAGCCGTATTGTAGTAGTTGCGTCAGAGCTCTATCGATTAGCGAGTTTAAATCTCAACAATCTTAATCCTACGTCGACATTGCCGGCTTATCTTTATTATGTATCAAAGTACGCAAATATAGTTTTCACATTGGAGTTGGCGCGACGTTTGGAGGGCTCGGGAGTGACAGCAAATTGCCTGCATCCCGGAATGATCTACAGCGGAATCTGGCGAGCCGTGCCCCCTGTGTTGTCCACGATTTTGTACCTATTAAGCAAGGCTTTCGGCAAAACGCCCGTGCAAGGCGCGCAGACGAGTATTTATGTTACGGTTTCCGACGAGCTCAACGGAGTCTCGGGAAAATATTTCATGGATTGTGCTGTAAGAATTATTTTTAATCTTTTTCAAAACTTTTTTTCTGTTTTATTTTAATTATATTCCACATATTTTAGGAATATGGCCTATCGAATGCCGTGAAAGATCCTGCTAAGGGCAAGAAATTATGGGAATTAAGCGAGCTTATGGTGAAGTTGGAACCATCAGATCCAAAGATCTAAATACATGCATATTTTCTTTTATGAACTTTGCTAAAACTTTTGTTCTTTTGTAATATATGTGATGGTATCTTTTGCAATTAACATTTATTAAAATTTGTTATAACTTACCATTAATAGAGAGAAAGTATCATGACTTTCTCGATCTCAATATCTTTTATATCGAAAAAAAAAAATTTTGCAAGTATTGCAATTTAAAGAAACATTTTTTTTATTAGAGAAAAGATATTTTTTTATAAACATGATATATATAATTGATTGCATTTGCTGGAGTAATAGATTCGATACGTACATCTTTTGCTGAATTGCCTGGCATGATTAACGTACTTTTTACAGCTTAGATATCGATTTTAGATATTAAACTGATTACTATTTTGAATTCAAAGGAAATAGGCTCTCCCACTTTTGCATTCTCTCGGGATAAAGTCTTGTCTTCATCCTCGATATTTCAGAAATTTCTAAGTAGTTGTCGGTTTCTAATAAGTATGGTTCCCATGTGACATTGTTCGCCAAAGTCGGTGGTACTGGCTGTCCAGTTTCAGCAAAATTCGACCACATACTTGTCATAAGTTCCACTATAGGTATCTCCGGAGCATCATTTTCGAAGAAGGGAAATATCTTCCTCATAAAGAATAGATATTGCAAATCGTCATGATGCACTACTCCTAAAATGATCAAGTAAACAACGGATTAGTCATAACTTTATTCGGATGAGGATCAGATCTCGTGATATGTGTTATGAAATAATATTTTTGATCAACCAAAAAATATAAGTAACATAAAAATAAAAGTCATACCGTACGGTGTAGTTTTGTTCCACATGACAAAACTATATCGTCCTTGATAAGAAGATACGTAAAAATAGATTGGTTGATCAGTGTTTTCTGCAAACAGTTTTACAGTGCGATGCAATGGAAATGTAATTAGACTATCGGCTTTAATCTGCAACAAAATTACAAGATTGTCATGTATAATCACGCGATTAATTTTATTCGCGACACTGTATCAATACTTTGCAATATTTGCAATGAACATCACGCGCGTCTCAAATCCATTAATAATTAATATACTTATTTGTTGTAATATTTAATACGTATCTATATATATAATATTTTTCAAAATAATTTTTACGAACATGTGCGAGACCGTCATACGTGTCCGGGCCGATCGATTGATTGCCAAAATAAAATTGACGTAGTTCGGTGCTTATGTATCTGGAACGAGGTGTATCCCGTTCGTATATGAATGCGATTGGCGCAATTTTGTACCAGTCATTGTTTAAATCGTCCAAGATCGAGTTGTTTCCAAGTCTATGTTGCTGTTTGACAGCTAGAATCGAACGTAGAAATTAGCGCATTATATTTCAACAATTATTTTTAATTAAGTAGAATAGATTTTTACCAACGACCACACCGCCGAACTCGTCCTTGGTGACCCCCGCGATCAGCGGAACCTTATGGAATTTTCCTTTTCTAATAAGATCAACGGGCTGTTCGGGCAAGAACCTCTCCACACCGTGAACCTCGGGTTCCACTACGGGTGACCATAACAATGTCGGATTATTATACCATTCCTGAAACGTGCCACGATGTGTTTAACATCTTCTCTTTTTAATCTTAATTTTCTGTTTTTTATTTAATCGTTTTTAAAAACAAAACAAATCTTAATTATATTATTTTTCAAAGGCTCCCCATCTCTCTTCCGTTCAATTTCCTATCATATGACAGGGATGTTATTTTCTACATATCTATTTATTAATAATTATTTTCTAATTATCAAATCTCGTCTGTAATGTTTGCCATACTCACAAAGAACTTGGGTATAGTATCTGTGAAGTTCTCCACCGGTTTAGAACTCAAGCAGACCAGCATAGCGTCCGTGGTGTCGGACGGACAGTTCAATAGCTCGGCTTGCTTCTTCGCCAGATGCAATTGTTCGGTCGGGTACGGTTCTGACGTCATCGAGCCGCTCATCATAATCGCGCGATGGAACAATCCCTTGGACATTGGCGAAACCATGTGCAGCATCACGCTAAATCCACCGATGCTGTAGCCAGATATCGTAACGCTATCAGGATCGCCGCCGAAGGCGGCTATGTTCCTCTGAACCCATCGAAGCGCCACAACTTGATCTTTCAAGCCCAAATTGCCTGGTGCCTTCGAGTCGCCGGTGCTTATAAAACCTGACAAGCATAATATTTTTTTTTTTTTTTTTTTAGAGAAACGTTTCGTTATTTTTGAATTTAAAATATTTTGATGTTAAGCTATGTTTGGCTTGTATATTTTCCTTCAGCTTCAAGCAAAATTTATCGCTTATGATTTAAATTATCAGAAGAATAATTAAATGCCCGGGGATTCACCTAGAGTTGCGAGACGATTATTAACAGTGACAAGAACAATATCTTTGTCCAGCAAGTATTCGGGTCCAAAGTAGAAGCTTTGGCCTGAGAATACATAAAAAGCACCAGGGTGGAAAAATACCAACACCGGCCTCTTTACGGGATCGTTCGCCGAAGGTAACTGCGATCGAGACAATTGTTCAATTAGTAAGTTTATTCCTTTCAGCGAGAATACGGATCATGTAAGTTAGTAAAGCTCACTTTCGTACACGAAGACAATCTTCCGTTATATTCTCCCCGTTTATTGCTGGACAGGCAGGTCCTTCCTTGGTTGCATCAAAGACATCATTCCAATCCGCCGCTGGAATAGCGACCTACGAGAAATGAAATTGAATGGAAGAATGACATTTACATTGTGCTCATCCTATAATAAATCTCGTTTTATTCTTGATAAAAATATTTTATCACACACTGAAATTATTACAAAATAATTTTTGCGTTGCGTTTCGTGGAGCGGATTTTAAAATATACGTACGATAAAACTTTAGCGATAGCGTTATTATCATTCATAACGTTATTATCATTCATAACTTTACCTGAAAACGTTGCTGCCCGGTTGGTGGCTCGGCGTATCTTACACCGCGGAAGGAATAAATCTTTTTGCCGAGTCTGGAGGTCAAGATGGAACCGCGAATTTGTCCGATCGGTGCGGTTACTTCGCATTGTTCGCCAGCGAAATCGCCGCTGGCGAATGCAAGGACGACGCTCAGAAGGAATAGATGTTTCATGACAAGAGGATAGCTCGTATTGCTATGTACTCGAGCTTAACACGAGACCTAGTTTCCTACGTGAAACCAGTTAGATACATACACACGCTTGCGTTGCACCGGCAAGTATTAAAAACAACCTCAAGGACGATGGCCTTTTATACCCAATTGCTAGGAGGAAGAACCACACAATTGCCTTTCTGGGAAACCCAAGTATGTCATATACGAATTTATTTCTTAAACGAACAGATATATGTAAAATCATGCGCACAGTTTTGTAATTTAAATCTGCACGTGCACGGGATTTTTTAACCAAAAGATGAGACAACGCGTGAACGTTTTATTATTTGACAGGTGGTACCTAATGCGTATTTGAAACGCGAATCTGCGAAAACTATATTACTTCCAACGGTCACAGTTTATAAATTCTGGTTTTTCCCCTCGATACATTTTTCAAACATCATATAGCTGACGATGCAAACTGATCGCACCGAGAAGTGATGTAGGTCATGTTTTCCTCATTACGAGGAAAACGTTACGAAACTTGCTATGCTGTTATCAAGATGAATAATATCAAGAATATACATAAAATCCAGCTTCTTTACTGCAGCAATATTTTTTATAATTTGATAAAAGGAAAGAAATTTTTATTTTTTATATTTTATAGAAAAGATTCAAATGTTATTTACAAAAAGTCGTTTATAAAATTCTATATTTTTCAGACATTGTTTAGATACATCTTCCTAAATATCTTTCTGGTTTTCTTTTTACGTTCTTTAAAATCGTAATAATAACGCTGGAAAATTATTTAGAATATTTCTTGTTAATATGATAAACCAAGCTATTTCTTCTTCGATTCTTTCAAGCTGCGTCTGATTTCAGTCATGTAAGTTTTAGTTGCATGACCGTAGTTTAGATCAAAATTCGCTGAATAGTCATTCTGATTGCTACGAGCTTGTCTCTTCGGTTTAGCAAATTCGCGCAATCGTTTAGGACAACGTCTATTATTCGTAGCGGCAATACGGGCGTAAGTATAATTTTTATTTTTTATATTTTATAGAAAAGATTCAAATGTTATTTACAAAAAGTCGTTTATAAAATTCTATATTTTTCAGACATTGTTTAGATACATCTTCCTAAATATCTTTCTGGTTTTCTTTTTACGTTCTTTAAAATCGTAATAATAACGCTGGAAAATTATTTAGAATATTTCTTGTTAATATGATAAACCAAGCTATTTCTTCTTCGATTCTTTCAAGCTGCGTCTGATTTCAGTCATGTAAGTTTTAGTTGCATGACCGTAGTTTAGATCAAAATTCGCTGAATAGTCATTCTGATTGCTACGAGCTTGTCTCTTCGGTTTAGCAAATTCGCGCAATCGTTTAGGACAACGTCTATTATTCGTAGCGGCAATACGGGCGTAAGTATCGAGAAGAAATGTCTTTTTATCAGACTGATGAAACGGCCCTGAGACTTGTTTGCTGTCCACTAATTTACGAATTTTTATCTGATTTTTATCTGAAAATATAACACATGTTTACATAGTTGCGACGCTGGAAAGGGCAAAACAAAAGTTGCAAAACAAAATCAATTTACAACTGATACAGATTAACACGCATGAATAAATCAATGACTGTAATATATTATTATGATATATATTTGTTTAGATATATAAATTGAAATTATTTGCCAGATTTCACCTGAACTAATATTTTTCGTAGATGAAGGCGAGGTATAAGATGTCGGCGCTAAACTAGATTTCGATTTCTGTTCAGTAGATTGATTCAGGTCGTCGAGTATTACTCGGCGAGTATCAGATATCCCGCGAATCACCTGAGAAATATCATGCAGTCACGTAAACTTTAATTATTTTTTGTATTTATAATATCCCGGAGGATTATAATAACACTACCTGCAGATCGTCGGTATTAATACACTTATAGATTTGTCCTTCTTTTAGGTTTTCGTGTTTAGACGTGTTATCTTTTAGTGGTTGAATGTCACTATTCATATCGCAATTGCGCGGACTATATCTTTTCTTTTAATAATAAATTGTTTTTCTGGTTAACAGAAATGCCTTAAAATTTCAATTAAAATTACATTATTCGAATTATTAGATTAAGAGTATTGTTAACTTTAGAAATTTTGATTCAGATTTAAGATTTGACGTGAATTTTTGAAAGCCAAAGCAATGATCTTTTTTTCTCGTTCGTTATTCAATTGTAATTTCGATCTTTCCTGTTATCGTATGTACATATATGTAATGTACATCGATCTATTTCCGGCGCTTTTCAAGTAAGAGAATCGTTATTGCTGCGGCTCACTTGTCGATCTTTTTTATCAAAATAATTTTTATTGCGCAAGACTTGGAATAATGGAAATGTACATCGAAAAATGTATAAAGATTTATTTCTATAAAAATGTTAATGTGTGCACAATATATAAAATATACATTATATCAAATTATATTAAATATACAATAATACTTAAGATTAACAGATCGCTAAATTTCTCGTATTTGGACGGAAACATTTAGAGATAAGTCTCCGTTGGACGGACATAAAGGCAGCCATAAAATTTATTGATATATCTAACTCTATCTCTTTCAGCCATTTGTACTGTTAAATATATATACGTGTAAAATATTTATAAAACAATATTTAGAGTAAATTTACGTCGTAGCGATAAAATATACATTGTTAATAATAAAATGTATTCTATCAGATTTGTCAGATCTCTGTTTTTTCTTTTGTAATCTTACAACGCAAATTATTCATATAAAAGCAAGTAAATCGTATCGCTATAGCGATACTTATCTACCGAACACGAAAGTAAATGCTACCATAACTATTGTACCAAACAACGAATAGCCTATGGCTGCCGCACCAGCGTTGCAATCCACAATTCTTCTAGCTCTCATAAAATCTGGTCCGAGATATGTACTATATTCTCGCTTTTCTGGCGGTATGACTATCAACTGTTGAGTGGCGTCCTGGAAAATGAGATCGCTGTAAGGAGACGGGCTGTAGTACATGCTGAAGCTGAACTCGTCCTGCTCTTTCCGGCCGTAAAACTGTTGCGCGTATATGAACAGATTTATATACGCGTTGATCTGCGTCTCGTTGTAGCCATAACCGCCGCGCGCGACTATAGCATTGGCGGCGACTTTGCCCAAGTTGCAGTTCTCGTAATCCATAGTCGGACGACGCGTACCGTCCGGACAAAGCAACTCGAAATCCTTGGTAAAAGTGTTGCGCGCCCAGAATTCCCTGCGCTTGCCATCAGTGTTCTCCGCGACCGTTGTGTGTTTAACAAAAGACACATCTCCGCCGCCTTCTACCAGGCATCTGAAGGCGCCCGTGTACCCGAAATAATCCTCGGAAGCGTCTCTTCGGCAATACCTGTAGCTTACCCCGTGACATAAGTCGCACATGTTATCATAAGGCACCCCTGTAATCAGATGAAAAGAGTTCTGTGTAAATGTAATCGGTCTTATGGAAGATTATTCTATTCTATCTTTATTAATTAATTTTAAAATCTCTAATTTAGAAAAATTATTAATTTTGTTGTGTCTTTTGAACTACCTATATTATATTCGGTACTAAGCGCGCCTGGCACGCAGGATTTAGTGAAATATTCGGCGGCGGCACGCACGGAATCGCAACCGTAACCTCTGATCCAATTGTTAGAGATAAGATACGCCAATGGATAGACCCAGCCCGCGGCAGTATTAATCCCCGTGTGACAGGTATACTTGTTTTTCAAATATGTCAAATCTGTGTTGTCGTCCTCCTCCTTAGCGACAGCGACAACATAATAATCCGGCGTGCCGAGATTATATACTTCGGATATAAACGGAATCAGATTGAAACGTAGTCCAGCGGTATAAACGTCACCGGCGTCCAATACAGCTACATCGGCAATTCTATCGTAAAAAAAAGAGTATGCATGTGATTTCATCAAGAGACATATATGCATGTATATTTAAACATATTTTTATACGTACCCGCTTTGTATCGATTGCATACAATTTATTTGGCTATGGCCTCTATGACAAAGCAATTCTGGTTTCAGCAGCTGAGCCTTTAAAGCAATCTGCAACAAACACATGAAAAATTTTCAAACTCAACGCATTTAAATAGATAATTTTTAAAATAGATATAAATAGTTTTTGCGCTAAATATATAGTATGAATGGTACCTTCATCTTTACACATTTTTCCATTTCCGGGTCGGATGTAACACATAAAGTCATCCGATTTACGGGGCAATGGCGCACTCCTAATATGTGATCTATGGATCTTCCCAAGTATCCTGTGTATGTTTGATCTTTCTCAGGCAAGTGCACGAAATCGCGAGCAGAATCCTGGAAGAGTGGGATGCGTTACATCAAGCATAAATATAATAATGGAAGAAATAAGCGAAAAAACGTGTGTCCTACCGAAAATATCAAATTATGCTGCATTCCATATCTAGGCGCCGACTCGTACAAATCGAACACTTCTATCGGTTGTATATTCGTAGGTTCGGTGTGATCTCTATGATAATAATCGAACGTATCATTGATCGCGGGTTTCTCCGAAACTGAATTGAATTCGTTGCCGCCGCCACCGCCACCGCCACCGCCACCGCCACCGCCAAAACTTCGATCATATCCATTGCGATTCCAATCCGTGCTGTATTCGTTTGGAGTATTAACACCATCTCTATTAAAATCATTCTCACCGAATCTGTTGTTGTAACCCGAACGATTTTCATAATTCTTCTGATTATTATCGAAATGATTCAAATCCGTCGTATTATTTTTGTTTTTATGCAATATTCGAACTGCTTTCTCCAGAAATCTTTGATACATTCGACGAATCTCGAAATTTGTCGCTGAAGACGTGACTATCGCGCGCGATGGTACAGTACCCCAATTACAGATTCTGTACTCGTCCACGGATCTGCGAGTACCGTCCCTGCAAAGGAGTTCGAATTGCTCCTTCTTCACGGAACCTAATAACAAAAATTGAATAATGAATACTTTATCGTCTTCTCTCTCTTACAGATTTAATTCATTAGGTAGAGACTCTGCGTACTAAAGTCAAATGTCGTTGAAGTCATCTCTTGTACAGTCGTATGCACTAGAAAGGCAATTTCGCCTGCTTCGACCAAGCATCGAAAAGCCCCCTCATATCCTGAATAAGGATCTTGATACGTGCACTTGCCACCAGGTATTTTTCCAATACACAAACTACACAATTGATCAGAATTATCACCTGTAATTGATTCGCAAGAGATTATAATAGTTATAATATCAAAATATAACCATATATTATATTACAAACTTACCAAGAGGATTATATTTATCAATTAAAGAGTTTACTGCGCAACTAGGACCAAAGTATTTAATTGTTGACTTTACATGATTGTTACAATCAATGACTTCCATTCCCCCATATCGCATAAGCTGAATAAGAGATATTTTTTGATCATATATAAATATTTGTGTATTACAACATATATATATATATATATAATTATAAAAATTGTATATAAATAATTGTATAAATATTGTAATTAGAAAAAATCCATACATTGTAATCATTTAAAAAAAAACTAGAAATTTTACTCACAGTGTTAATAGGAATAACCCAACCTGCTAATGTTCCAACACCAGCAAAGCAGGCCTTCTTGCGTCTAAGATCATTTAAACTTTGTACATCTGGTAAAGAGGCTTTCTTAACCACTGCAACAGCATATTGATAATTCACACCACTTTCATATATCTCCTGCATTATTGGTACAAGACTATGATATCTTCCAGCTATGAAGACTTCTCCGGCATCTAATGTTGTTATCTGGGCCTTTTCATGATCCAGCATAGTCATACATTCTTCCTTATTAAAAGCTTGTTTGCAATGAATCGAAAAGTAGCTAAAGCCAAAGGACCCTATCTCACGATCAACCGCCCTGGAAAAGGCTTTGCATTTATTCTGTTCGCCATCGGAAACTGTACACCATGTGATTGTGTTGTTGAGATGCTGGCCTGTCAAAAATTAATTAATAATAATCACTTTGTAATATATTTGTATGTATTGTTTCTCAATTGTATTTAACACGCTAAATTCTATAATATCCTCCACAGCGTAAATAAAATAACTGATGTAATAATGCAGTACAATAAAAGTCTAAAAATCAGATAAAGAACAATATTAGATTATTTATAATTGAAATTATACTGTAATTGAAATATGATTACTTTGGTATGATTATTTCAGAAATAATTAAAGTTTACTTTACGAAGGAAAAGAACTATTTGCCATTTAACGCGTGTTTTGATGCAAAATACAATTCTATAAGATAACTATTAATTTCACGCGAATAAAAATATGCATTCATACCATGAATAGGAGTTAATACAAAACTGCAAAGAGATACCAGTATCGCGAAATAATCGAGCCACATTTTCCCTTCAAATATCTCTTTACTGGCAATCGAGCTCTCCGGACAACACCCTTGACATGACTACTCCGAATTGTAACCGAACTACACCACGCGTGACGTAAGTCCATTCATTAAACGAAGATAGAATGAGCAATATCAGGCAATACGACGCTACGGTCTGTTCGTTTTTGCTGCACTTTCTCACATTTTGGGTCTGTTCTTTATAACTGAACTGGCTGCACTAGTGGCACTAGTTCAGAGTTTATCTTTCTCTCTCCACATTGGAAGGAGAAAGATAAACTCTGACTAGTGCGCAGCCAATTCAGCTATAAAGGTCTGTTCTATGTTCTATACCGACTTAAAATAATGATTACACACACGCCTAAAACTCGCAATTAATCTGAAATAAGATATGTCTAGAAATATTTTGTTTCATTATTAAAAACAAATTATTAATAAAGAATCTTAATACATGTAAATATGACTTTTATTACATATAGAGGAATTTATAATTAATTATATATAAAATAAATACTTTTATATTATAATTTTTTAACATTTACAAGCTTGTGCAATGCAATTAATCTATTGCATTACAAGTTTGTATAATTTATATATATATATATAAATCATAAATAAAACAATATACAAGATTTAAGGACTTTTAGTCGCTCTTTTCCTGTTTGTTTCTTCTTTTGTACCACATGTTTGTAGCAAGCTTAAGCAATTCGTGATTTTCGTACATCCACGACGTAAGTACAATCATAAACATCGTTATTCCAATCAATAGATGCAATATTTTTTCAGCTGGGAAGAAGTAAGCCTATAAGAAATAGAGAAACAACATTACATTAAATTTAGAATAATTGTAGATGTGTGCGTGTGTGTATAAAAAATTAAAACGAGATACTTTACTTGTGATAAATTAGTAATGAATGCCGCAACGAGTAGAGAACCTGAGAACATGGGCTTCGGTACTAATCCGCGTAGAGGACGATATATTGTGTCCCGATGTCTTTTATTAATGAACATTGCCGAATGTATGATTCTTAGGCTCATATTTACGCAATTGCCAAAGATAAAACCGACTGGACCGAACCAAATGGCAAACAGATACGATGCACCCAAGAACGCGATAGATTCGTAGACCATGATAACATTACTCTTATTTATGGTCGCACTGTCAGCTGTCGCGTTAGTATAACATTCCGTCACGCCATTAATTCCTAACAGTAATACAGCAAGACAGTGCGCTCTTAGCAGAAGAACAGGTAAGGGTAAGGTCAGTTTCGAGCCGCCGTATAGCCAGAGCAATGTGCTCGAATAGGACTGACCGAATACTAGAACAATCAGACCAATAGATGTAACGATTGAACACAAATGTGTCAACACATTCACGCTCTCTTGTACATCCGCCTGAAAATATCATGGTTTATACATACTTATTATAAACATGTTATTATCTTATAAAAATCATTACTCACTGGATTTTGATTAGATATTGGTTTGTCTCTCTTTACTATTTGTGTGAAATAAAAATATCCGCTTTCTTCGATTGGACGGAAAATAAATCTAGCAGCTAACGAACCCAAATTATTCACAATCTCATAAGTACCCTTAAAGAAACAAAGTAAGAGTCAGTGTGTCTATGATAATGATATTACGATATTAATTTACAAATATACCAAATTACCTGTTCTGTGAATGTCAATACTGGCATTATAGTCATGATCAACCTTTCGCCTTCTGTTAGAATTTGTTTCAGTATTCCTTGCCTAAAGAAGCTCCATGTAAGAATAGTTAACTTTTTATCAAGATATGAGTCCTACGAAATAACTATTGTATTGTTCTTAAAGAATAATGATAGTTCACGCGATTACATATTTACATACATTATTTTCCAGCTGACCAGGTAAAAAGTCCTTCACAGTGCGAAAGGGAAACTCTCTTACCACATATTCATCACTACTGTCTTTCAAAGACATTCTTCGTTTCTGCGAACATTTGTTCAACTTTGCGATATGATAGTGAAAGTATGCATAGTGACTAGTTGTATAAAATACTGCTGCAACAAGCTGAGCTGTACCAAATGCAAGTAACGCATTCTCTGGATGATATAATATTAGTAGAACAAATGTCATAGTACGAATAGCAATCATGATTGTGTCTAGAGTTATCTGAAAGAACAAGCATCACGTGTGAAATGCTCTCACATTGTTTGAACAATTCCATTTTTTTTTTTCTGTTGTCTTACTTTAAGCCTAACAAATAGAAATGCGTTCGCAACTAATTGAACAATCAGGGAAGACAGTTCTATGATGCATGATAGTCCATTCTCACATTGTTTGAACAATTCCATTTTTTTTTTTTTCTATTGTCTTACTTTAAGCCTAACAAATAGAAATGCGTTCGCAACTAATTGAACAATCAGGGAAGACAGTTCTATGATGCATGATAGTCCAACTGCCCAAACTGCAAACGTATAGTACGATGGTAATGCCTCTGTGGTAGAGAGCACGAATAACCAAATGTATCCGAATAAGAAAGACATCACAAAACATATGGGTACTCTAGAAAACATTAATTAATCTATATAATTCTATTAAATGGGAATAATTAGGGTATATGTGATAAACAAGATAGCGACAAACTAACGTCAGCCAGAGTAAATTCACAACTTGGGCCCAATTATGCTCCACTGTATTAGTTAGACATGCTTTCATGAACGGTTCTCGTGATAAGAACAGTATCATAGATTCCAGTAACAATAATCTCACATTAATGACACCCAAAATAGCTTGACCTACATGTCGGACGACAAACGCGTTCAAGAGAAACGTAATACAGCGACAGAATATCTGAAAGAAGAAGATTTCTCTTAATCCATAATTTTATATAATAAAGTTTTTGCATATAATGCAGAAGCAAATTAGCTCCAATAAATAATATCGAGAAAGTTATGCATATATTAAAATGACGAGAGGGAGGAAAAAAGAAAAATTGCATAAATACAATAAAATCCTTGGAAAGGGTCTGAAGGCAAAATATGTAACTTGGTTATAGTCGCAGGAACTCTTTCACGTTTTTGTCGGTATACCTGAAATATAATGCTGAAAGAAGCATTCTCCAAGCTGCTTTTCAGAATACTCGGCCGCATTTTCAGGCTGATCTGATGGAAAAAGCATGAATATTTCGAGATTCCCGCCGGAAGATGAAACGTCAACGCGAATATAGAAAGGTAACAATAAAATGATAAAATCTAAAACTATATTCGTCACTCATTTCTCTTCGATTTTATTTGTCGCTCAAGAATTAAACTGCGACTCCAAAGAAAAGGTAAAAGGCAACAAAATTATTACAGCTGTTGTGACAACATTTTGTGACGAACAGCTCGAAATTGTGAAGCCTTTCTACAAAATATGGCGTCTCTGCGCTCACACGTCTTCGCTTATAGATCACGTGACTGAGCAAATCAGCTGTACGTTTGTCGTATACAGCATGTACGATGTACGGGCGTAGTAGTTAGTAGTAGTAGCAACGATCTTTATTTAGTATCCACGCGTGGCTGCGCGGCTTGTCATTCACAACGTAGACGAATCTCTATGTTTCGCGATCGCGTATTTCCTCGAAAGCCAATGTTACAAATTGTTAAGTGCCTTAATTAATTCTTCCACTTGTAAATAATATATAAGAAACTGATGAAATGGATCTTTTACTTATAAATGATTATTTGAAGACATATTCTGGCAGAGACAAAATATTAAGAACCCTTTCTTATTCGGCAAAGTTACTTACTGTATGTACTTCATCTAAGAATACTGAAAAAAAACTTAAGACCTTTGGAAGTCAAATGAGTGAATGCAGAATGATGTTGCGCTTATTAGATGATCTTCCAATGCTTCACTGCATCATGACATATGGATGGGGGAAAAAGGTAAACTCTTGTTTATTTATATAATAATGTTAATGTAAGAAATTATGTGCTCAGATGATTAAAAATTAAAATAAAATAATACCTTGTACAGCTGAAAATTTTATTTATCCAAAGAATACTGTATAATGGAATTATGTTATGTTCTATTTTTAGTCATTAAAATTTTATATATAATTTAATTATAGGAACCTGACTGGTTGATTAGATGGAGTCAAGTGATACAAAATGTAGTAGACATAATTTATTCTCCTATAGAGCACATTTCTTGGGCTGGTCAGCATAATATCATATCAATTAATATTGACAAATGGGATGTCGCTACAACTTGGTTTTGGATAGTTTCTTTACATCTGTCCTTACTTAGGTAAATTAAAATATTATTTTTAATATATTCGTGAAAAGTATTTCTATATTGAAGAATATTTTTTATGTTGTGTTACAAAGTAAAGTTTCATGCAACAATTAGAAGTATGCATGTGTTACAGATATATTCAATTTTAGTATAAATATTAAAACAGAAATATAAAATATCTTTGTTTAATAAAATAATTATTATTTAAGGTCACTAAGATTACTCAAAAACCTTCAGAAGTATAAAACAGATTTGAAAAAAAGTAATCCTGATGCACAGTAAGTATTATATTCTTATGAATTTTTAAATATAATTCTATATTTATGATAATATTTATTTGTTCTATCGAATATATAGAAACACATTGAAAGAGATCAACGAGCAACGACAGAGTGCATTATTGGTATGCACACGTCTTGCTCTGGATATTACCTATGCAATTAGTTACTTACCACCAGGCATACTTTGGGGAGGCTGTTTAAGAACATGGCATGTTGGTGCACTTGGCACAATATCATCGTTAATCGGGCTTTATCAGGCTTTTAGCCAACGACTAAAAAGTTGAAAAGTTGTTTTAGATAAGGAAGTTTTATTGTTACATTGATTATTAAAAATATGAGATGTAGAGCTGTATATATTATGTATAATAGCATCAAATTATTAATATATATTTAGGTTTATACACATAATATATATTACTTTATATATTTCATCGACAAATGTAAATTTTGCTATAAAATTAAAAGAAATACACAAAGTATTGTATGTATATAAATAATATACAAATATATAAATATGTATAATAAGGAAATTCACGTTTTATTTTATTATAATTTCTTTATCGTACAAGTAATATCCTTTTTATTTTTAATAAATAAATGTGTTAAATAATTTATCAATGATACATTATTCTACCTCTTCATTACAGCTATTTAAATGAAGACCACTTAATTAAAGGCTTTTTTGTGTTAATTTTTTAATGTTAAATAACATACAATAAGATTGAACAAAACTCTATCAAATTTCTATTAAATCGATACCGCTTTTAAAATCATCAAGAATTCTTTAGTAACGATGTGGCAGATCGCTCCGTATATATATTGTAGAAAAAAGTGAAACGCCTTAATTAATGCTAAAAGTATGATTAATTGATTTTGAGTTTGATTGAAATATGTCAAATGGATACATTTGTAGTCAAACACGAGCGATGAGTAAAGTTTAAATTGTACATTAACTGCATATTGGAAGTACCTTATATTTAAAAATGTGAAACTATACGTTAATTTTTTATTTTGTTATATTAGGGCTACCAGATTTACACAAGTGGTAGAGAGTATCGTAAAACTTTTTATATTTTATACGTTATATATCAACAAAAACCGTTATATTATTTTGCGAATTAATTTTTAAACGTTATCAATAAAAGCTAAAGAGAATAGAAGAGGCACTTCTCTCACCTGAGCTTAAAATAAAAAATACTTTAAATCTATTCACGATGTAATCTACGAATCGATCTAGATCTTAGTACATCAATATATATTGGCCGACGCTATAAACTTAATATTTTAGTTTATATTAAAAAATAGTTTGTTTTAAAGTAAGTACTTTTATTCAAATACATTATATGTTTAGATTAAGGAGCAACTTGGTCTAATTCCTTTAAAAGCTAATATTTTTTTAAGCATTATATGGCAACAGTCTTCTCAATCATTCTATATTATATTAATCAGGATAATTCTCGTATAGAAAAGTAAATATGTATAACATTAGAGAGAGAAAATATTCTCCAATGATGAGCTTAACGCTCATTCCAGAATCAGTAAAAGTGATAATTAACTAATATTTGTTTAAATGTATGAAATTATTAAGTAATATAACAGCTATCAATCATGTCGTTAAAAAATATATCGCGATATCTTATTTATTCTCTCGCACGATCATCGTGATTGATATTACATGACCTAGAATTACTTAGCGTGCCTGGTAATTTAACGTGTTCGTACAGTTTTCAAAGAGAGTTCCATATTTTATTAATTGAACAATTTATTCTAATAGAAATTCAAGCAAACGATCTATCAATCGTTCTATCAGAATCAGTCATTTAATTACGTAAGTATATATATAAAACTTCGAAGGCTTATATTGGATGTAAAATACACGCGTAATTGGCACTTACCAAAAGATTCGGGTGCTTACATAGTTAAAAAGATAATTTATATCTGCTGTGTAAAAAAATTTATATGAGGATTATGTTAAAAGGCACGACTTATTGAAACCTTTTCAAACAACATGCTATAGATTATTAAAATTTGTCCCGGATAAAATCTCTTCTATTGAAACGGATAATGCTGTCATTGCATAGACTAATTTATGGATTAATCGTAACTGATTAATCGTCATTGAAATATATCCAAAACGCTTTGATCGAGAAAGCATGTATATATATATATATATATATATATAATATTTTTGACAGTATATATTTTAAAGCACTTTTTTAAAATAATTGCTTATATATGTAGCAACCACGTTATTGTTCCACATGTCTGTGAACCATATACATGTGATATATTTAACGGAGTATATATAATTATATATATATATATATATATATATATATATATATATATATATATATATATATATATATATATATATATATATATATATATATATATATATATATATATATATATATATATATATATATATATATATATATATATATATATATATATATATATATATATATATATATATAATTATATATACTCCGTTAAATATATCACATGTATATGGTTCACAGACATGTGGAACAATAACGTGGTTGCTACATATATAAGCAATTATTTTAAAAAAGTGCTTTAAAATATATACTGTCAAAAATATTATATATATATATA